TGGGGTGGGATGGATGGTGGGTTGGGGGATGGGCGGGTTGTGGAAGGAGCTGGGCTGAGGGCGGGTGGGGGGGGGTGTTTTTGGATGTGGGGGCCCGGGTGGGGAGTGCTGGGGGGGAAGAGGAAGGAACGGAGGACTCACTTCTCGAGCTGTGTTGACATGCTGTGCTGTGCTCTGCCCTGTCCTATCCTCTATGCTGTGCTCTGTGCTGTGCCCTGTGCTGCGCTCTGTGCTGCGCTCTGTGAGTGCAGGTCGTTGCCCGCGGGAGTGGGCCCACTGGGGCGCTGCACCTGCTGCCACCCCATCGACCGACTAGCCTGAGCACAACTCTCATCACTACCGCCAACACCAACACCAACACCAACACCATGATGGCTACCACCATTCCCCCCCTACATGTAACCAAAATTACAGGAATGGATTGTAAAGACCACATAGCTCAGTGAAAGTCATAGCAGCAGCAGGAGCAGCACAACACACATACACACATACACACATACACACATACACACATACACACATACACACATACACACATACACACATACACACATACATATACACACATACACACACATACACACACATACACACACATACACACACATACAAACACATACACACACATACACACACATACACACACATACACACACATACACACACATACACACACATACACACACATACACACACATACATACACACATATATACACAGACACACGCACACCGATCAGGGGGGGATGTTGCCGACAGCAGCTCAGTCGCGCTTCTGGTGCTCTAATGGCATCACCTATAGGAGGAGGAGGAGTATCAAGGCTGCACCGCGATGCATCAAGATACCCACCGTGGATTGTAGGTGGGGGGAGCATCAGATAGCTCCAGGGGTGCGGTGGAGGGGGCGCACGTCAACCCTGGACCCTACACGCCCTTCACCACGGCAGGGACACTGCCGCTTAGTGGCAATGTGGTGGTGGGAAAACGTTGACGATGGAAAAAAGCAGAACCCTGCAACCGCCGCCGCGTTGTAGGAGCGATTACTCCCCGGAATCAAACCCAGATCCCTAAACTGCGTAGGACAGTAGTAGTGTCAACCAGGCCAGACAGGAGCATAGATTCGACCGGCCAGATCTGTAGTCCCCGCGGGGGGGTGTAGCCGCCCGGCTCAACCGGTCGGTAGGGTGGGGCTTCGGTAGGGTTACGGAGGAGGAGATTCCGGCCCTCGCTGCCCGAGCCTGTGCTGACAACGCTGACAAATGAAAAAATTTTCCTAACAGGACTGCCCACGTATCCACATCTTTATATCTTAGATTTGATTCTAGCATACGCTGTACAGAGATAAATTTCTTCAAAACTTGGACCAAGTTCACAAACAGGTTTTAGGATCAAATGCTAATGGTGAAATGACGAGCACATCCGTAACTTATAAGACATTTATTCATACGCAACTCGGCCTACCTAGAAGTAAGAGTAGTCTTAACGAAGGCTAAATAATATTGGAAGAGCTATGCATACAATTTTGTGGTTGTAAGAACTTTGCTGTTTATAAGAAACACGCTAAGAGGACCTTGTTCACCATGTTCGCGCGGAAATCCGCATCCTGGAAAAAGCAACTTGAAGAATTGTATAAAAAGGTTTGGCGTTTATAGAATGCTTGACGATGCTGGACCTCGTGCGCTTTCGCATCCCAGATGTGGCTTCCGCTGTCGATGGATGATGCAATACATAAATACATACTTACATACAATCACGCCAGCACATGCGCCCACACAACCCGGCACATGTGCATGTGCCCAAGAGCGCACTGTGACACAAAACCACACAGAGTCTTTAAAAAAGGCACACAGGCACAGTTCCAACCAACGATGAATGGTGTCCTTGCCAAGCCACAAAGGAAAAAAGCTTTGGAGAACCTTGTTCTACACAAGAAGACATTTCAACTCCCTCACCTCGACCGGGGATCGAATCTCCCCCACCTCGTCGTTATTCGTGTTCTTCTCTTACCTCTTCTCCCCATCAAGTCCCCCCATCAAGTCCCACACACACGTGCATGTGGCCAAAAGCCCCAAGGTGGCCAACGGGAAACCTTTCCCCTTTCCCCCTCCCTTCCCTATGCAACTGCCGCCTTACCGCCGCACCACACTGCGCGCGCATACACACACACATACATACAAACACATGCACTCATTTTCGCGACACACGTCCAACCCCGTGGTGACAGAGACATGCCCTCAGTGCTATCACACCCTCCTTCCCCCTCAGGTAGTGGGGTTCAGATTTCTCACCTCCGTAATTTCACCATCCTGTTCTTCCAACCCACAACCCTAGTGCGTCCTGCGGCTACCAGACCACACACACACACACACACACACACACACACACACACAGCGCAACCCAACCCGGCAACGTATGTTTCTCTGCACCCCTCTCACAACACACGAACACAACACACGTACATACATACAGACAGATGGTTATAAACCGGCGGTGCCCCTCCCTTTCTGCAAGGAAGGGGCGACAGACACCCTCCTCCTCCTCCTCCTCCTCCCCCCCATGGTTGAAGTCAGCGGGGGCTTCTGTGGCCCAACCCAACCCCTGACTAGCTCTCCCTCCCTCTCTCTTCTCTCTCTCTCTTTCTCTCGCCGAAAGACCCCTCCCTCCCTAGTCAACAGACCTCAGGTCAGAGACCAAGCGCTTCTCTGCGGGTTATGACCCAACAGGATTTGTATACCCCAGAAATGGGGCAGGAGGGAGACAGGGAGGGAGGAGGCAGGTAGGCGGGGAGAGGGTCGCATCCTCATCCTTACGAGCCTACTACGTTACCCCCATTCTTACTAGCAGTAGCACTGGTGGCACCCGTGGTGTACGACTACTACTATTCCTCCGGAGGTTCCCCTTCCACGGGTCGCAGCCAGGTGCGAATGCTGCCGGTGTGGTCCGCAGTAAAGATAGCATCCGCAGTGAACAACAGATCCGACATGGGCTCCAAATGGATCCTGAAAGTACGGCAAAATACGACAGCGCGTCACTCGAGAGATTGCGGCGGTAGGGCAAACAGGAAAAATACTGATTTATTATTATTGCAAGATATAGCAATATTTCCATTCCCCCCGTCCCGCCGCGTAGTTTGTTTCATGAAATCTTTTGCATACATCTTCGCGCCACTCGCAAAAGACATACATACATACATACATACATACATACATACATACATACACGCGTTGGATCTATCGGGGCTCTCGTTTCCTTTATCCTGCCCCCTCACCCTGAATATCACTTGACACTGTAGACAAACCCACTCGCCAACTACTCTCACTAGTCGTTCCCTTCAACCTCCCACCCCTTCAAACCCTCCCCTTCCCCTCCCCCCTACCCCTCACTCTTCCCCTCTCCCCTTCCCTCCCTCTTCCCCTCTCCCCTTCCC